CCTATGGCTTGTAAACCATTGCTGGCTGGCTGGTCATCATTGCTCTTGTCTCGCTGTCATCCATGCTAGAGCCCGTGGTCACCCCCCAATCCTGAGCTGAGCTCCCTCTTCTCTATCTGTAGGTTTCTTCTTACTGGGATAGAGAACAAAAGCTTAGGAACACTGATCAGGTTTGTAAAAGAGGGAACGGCCTTGGTGGCGCTTCTACAAAAGCCCGCACAGGAATCCTGGGGCCAGAGAAAAAGCAAAGCCACAGAGGGAAGCCATGTCTTATTTGTTCTTTTACTCAACCAACATTTACAAAATCTTCCATGGGTCGGGACCAGCAGTTTGCATCCCAGACCCGGTGGCTTAAAACTCATTCCAGGTGCGTGTGCATGCGTGCCCAAGATCCCGAGAGGAGAATAGAGAAGGGATTGCAGCGTGGCCATCCCCTCTGGGGGGTGATTTCTCACTTTCCGTCTCTCTTTCTGAAGAGCGCACACACCCTATAGCAAAAACCTCTCCAAAAAAAAAAAAATCTTCCGTGGGTCAGCCCAAGCAAATGTTGGACAAGGAGATTGACAGGAATCGGCCCCTATCTGTCATGCTGGGAGAGGCCCTGTTTCCTGGTCTCCCAGTGAGTGTCCTGGAGCGCCCAACACCACCTGGTCTTGGCTCTTTCCAAGCTCCCAATTCCTGTCACTAATCCTCCTGGATAACTGCTCTTGAATCAGATGATTTGCAGGAAAGATCCAAGTGCCTTCAAAATCCAAAGAATGGGGCCGGCAGGTGGCGTGGTGGTGGAGGCACTGGACTTGAACATGGCTGACCGCAACTGGACTCCCAGACCTGGCAGCTCGAAAATCACACTGAGCATGTGCGCCCAAAATCCCAAGAGGAAAACAGAGGAGAAGGTGGGGCCAGCAGGTGGTGTGGTGATTAAGGCACTGGACTCCCACATAGCCAACTGTGGTTCAAGTCCTGTACCTGGTGGCTAGCTTTCTCACTTTCCCTCTCTCTCTGTAAAATACAATAATAATAATAAAGTTAAAATAATTCTTTAAAAAAAAAAAAGAGAAGGGATTGCAGCGTGGCCATCCTGCTGGGGATTACTCACTGTCTCTTTCTCTCTGGCCAGCACACATGCCCTATGGCAAAAACCTTAAAAAGAAATCCAAAGAATGGAGTTTACAATGGCTGGGGACAACAGGACATAATGGTGATGTCCTAGCATGCTGGGTGGCAGCTTGCTCTATTTACGCATGAAGCCAATCTGGTCAGAAAGGTAAAAACCACTCCAAAGAGCGCTGGGCCTAGGCCTGGGCCTGCCTTCACCCCCACCCGCACCATGGTCCTCAGTGTCTTCACAGATGGTTGCAGGACACCCTGCTGGGATCCACAGCTTACCATCTCCTCAGTCTTCAAACAGACTCTTCAAGAGGCTGTGTCCTGCCTGGAGGGGTTCACAGGGGATGGCACAGCTGAGTCTCTGTGGGCTCAGGGTGCTGTGTCATGTGACCACTCCAGATGGCAGTGCCCACCCAGCCCAGGTGGTTGCTCCCTCTGCCCTGCCCCTTCTTGCCAAAGTCTTCCTCTCCACCTCTCCCCTCCCAGTCCAGCAGACTTCTGAGTGTGCAGCTGAACACTGTGGACCTTGCAAGGCCGCTGACCGTCAGTTTCAGCTCTGCACACAGCCCAGGCTGCCCCGCAGCCCCGCCTCTGGGCCTGAGCCTGCACTTGCCTGTGTGGCCCAGAGCTGCCATCCTTCTATCTCGATAGCCACCCCACTATGGGCGAGCTCTTATCTCCCACACAGGACTAACTGCCCTCCGTTGCCTCCACCCACTCTGGCCAGCCATGGGCCTCCTGGGAGCAGTCGGACCATCGACATGATGGGAGGTGCCTCGGTCTGGGAAGCAGCCCTTTCTGTGTGGAAGACGAGCAGGGACTGCTGGGTTAGAGGCAGGAATCCCGTGCGCTTGTGCAGTGCAGTTGCTGTCTTGGGGTGGTCTCAGGCCTGTCCTTGGCCCTCTGGGCCCAGCCTCCTCCTTGTGAATGGAGGTGTCAGTATCTGGGATCCCAGGGGGCCTTGCACATCAGGATGTCACGACTTTGGCAGGGGGTTAAGTCAGAAACCCACAATTCTAGGGATGTTGAGAAGAGCCCCAGCTGAGAACTAGGACAGGAAGGGGGGCAGTTGGGCAGAGAGCAGGTATGGGTGCCCCCAGCTTCTTGACCCAAGATGCTTAAGGGTAAGGCTGGGCTGGAGGTTAGAAGTCAGAGATCCAAGTGTCCCTGGATAAGGCCATGACTGACCTGATGCCCTCAGTCATGGCGTCCACCTGGCCTTCACCCCTCCTCACCACTCTCCCCTGCCCGGATTCCGGGTTGTCACAGACTTCCAAATGGCAGGAGGAGGGGGCCTGGGCTGGTCACCTTCCCTGCCCTGCACCATCCTGGGAATCAGGGTGCCAGTTCCCACTCGGGTAGCATGACAGACACAGGCAGGGATGAGAAGCATGCTCTCCACAGTCCTCCAGCCTCAGGGGCCTCGAGTGGCTCTCGCAGGAGGGCGAGGCCAAGGGCTCACAGGTGAGAGGTGACGGCACCCAGGTCTGCTTTTATTCAGTCCTTTCCCTGTACAGGCGGGGAGGCTGGCCCAGAGGACTCACCCAGGGCCACTCAGTGAGTCTGGTGGCTCTCCTGGCTCGGCGCTTCCTCTGCAATCCCTACTCCAGGCAACCTTGGCCACTGGGAAACCACACACACCCCACCTGGGTCCACTGACTGTCCCTGCCTGGCTAATCCCAGGTCAGACAAAGTTGGGGTTAGAGCTGCCAGAGCTGGGGCGCCCAGGATGCTGGCCAGCCTGTCTCTACTGGCTTTCCTCAGCCAGACCTGCCAGTGGAGTCAGCCAGAGATGGCGACCAGGGCGCCACAGGGGCAACCTGCCTAAGTGCCCTGGCACATTCCTCTGGGCTCTCCCCAGGCTCCAGGTCAGACAGCCTAGAACCCAGAACCCTAGTTATTGCAGAAGAACCAGACCCTGGGTTAGGGAGGTGGTGGGGGCTGGATGAGCCACTGCCTATGCGTGGGACCACAGGATGGTCGCAGCAGTCTCCAGGGCCTTCCTCAGCCCCTTCTGGGGAAGACTAGGATTCTCTTGGCCTTGGGGCTCTGTGGAGGACAGCTAGGCCAGGCCAGCAGAACCCTAGTTATTGCAGAAGAACCAGACCCTGGGTTAGGGAGGTGGTGGGGGCTGGATGAGCCACTGCCTATGCGTGGGACCACAGGATGGTCGCAGCAGTCTCCAGGGCCTTCCTCAGCCCCTTCTGGGGAAGCCCCTTCAGGGCTCTGTGGAGGACAGCTGGCCCAGGCCAGGGGTGGGAGAGGGGACAGCCACGCCCAGTGAGGATGTTAGGAGGGGCTGTTGCAAGCACTCCTTGCTGCCCTTGGGGCCTTCTGGAAGTCCTCACATGGCTCCAGCAGTTCCCTTGGAATGTTTTTGGATCATTTTGCCCAAAGCTCCTAGCCCGAAGAGTACTTCAGAGGCAGGACGGAGAATGAGTAGAGTGAGCACAGGGGAAGGAGGGGGACACAGAGGGGCCCTGCTAGGAGTTCCCTACCAACACCTCACCTGGCATTAGCATTCTCTGAGCTTACAGAGCTACAAGGAAGTGAGAATAAAATTACTTCTTTTATTTCCAAAAATGTAGGGGTGGGGAAGCAACATCATACAAATTAAGACCAGTTCCCTACGGATTCTTCCTGCACCTAGGGGAGCTTACAGACACGAGCTGGGCCCAAGCGGGCCTCTGTTGCTATGGCAACCTGGAGGCCTGTCAACACTTGATGCTGGTCCCTCCATGCTGGCCAGAGCTGGGGGGACTAGAAGCACCCCCAAGAGACCCCCACTCTGATTTGTTCCTGCCCCGCCCCTTCCCAAATCTACATACGGGTTAGTGGGTTAGATTTTGGAATGCAGCAGCTGACGTCCCGTCCCGTCCCGTCCCCCTCCCTCTCACTTCCCATCGTAGCTGCCCTGTCTCCAGCCCGACCTCCTTCCTTCTCTCTTCAGCTCCCCTTCCCAGCTCGAGCTCCCTTCCTCTGCCCTCCTTAGGTTTCCCCACTCCCCAGCACCTTAGGTTGCTACCTCCTGGGCCTTCCCTCTCTGCCTCCCCTGCCCTCCCACCAGGGCTTTGGTGAGGGGGCCTGGCTCAGCCCACTGGGGCATAGGGGAGGCCAGTGAGGACCGTCAGTAACAAGCAGATTGTCACAAGGCCCAGCCTTATTGACACTCTCCTATCAGAACGCATCCTATAGCAAAAGGTTAAAAACCAGTAGGAGTAAGGACAGGAGGGCTGCAACGAGAGACCCAGGTCTGTCCCACCCAGGTCTGGGCGGCCCCAATATGGGGAGGGGCTGTGGTGTGACTTCCTGGCTCTAGTGCCCTCCAGCAGCCGAGGTCTAGGTCACGTAGCCAGGGACTGGCTGGCACTGTCCAGCAGGTAAGAGCATTTTGGAGGTCCGACTGCTCCAGAATCTTAGGCCTCCCAGCTAAGACAATGTTGGAACAGGGGTGGGAGGCCGGGGCTGGTTGTTCACTCCACTAACCCAGCCATTGCCTCTGCTGAAACGTCTACACCATTAACCCAGCCATTGCCTCTGCTGACCCCACACGAGGAATGCCCCCTTTGGTCCCAAAGTCATAGGCTCTGGAGCTGGGAAGATGGCAGCAGGGAACCTGCAGTAGCCCCAGTTCAGAGAGCCCCAGCGGGCAGATGAGGACTTTTCCCTGGGCCCTGAGGTCTGGGCTCGGACACCTGAAAGAAGCCCCCAGGTACCACCCCAGCCACGGGAGGGAGACCTAGGGCAGGAAGCACACCTGCATCCAAAAGGGCAGAGCACCGGGGCTGCCAGGAAGAGCAGAGGCAGGCCTGGAGAGCTGCGAGCCCAGGCTGACTGGGACCCTGCCCCATGAGCCCCAAGAGCGTCTGAGGGACAGACAGGGAGGATGAGGCCTTGTGGGCGAGGCTGCAAGGATGAGCCACAGGCCAGACCCGTGAACCTCTGGTCTCCCCCAATCTTTAGGGGTAGAGGGTGGAATCAGGGACAGGGTTGGTTCCCCTGGCTACCTCCTCTCTCCTTGGGGAGGCTCTGGGGCAAAGGTGGGGCTGACAGGGCAGGCCCCCAGGAGGACAGGGGAGCTGGGGGAGAAGGGAGAGAGGGAAAGGAGAGGAGGAAGGGAGAACGACCAAACCTGTGCTCCATGAGCTGGCAGTGCCCAGCCTCACTGACACCCCTCAGAACAGAAGCCCACCCTTCCTTCAGCCCTCACCCCTCTGCGGCCCTCCCCGCGGTGCCCCAAGAGCTAGTTTCATTTGTGGAGGTAGGCATCCAGCCACAGATCCCCGGACTTCTTCAGGGACCTGCAAAGAGACGAGGAGGGCTGATGGCAGAGCCTGGGGAGGCAGGGCCTGAAGGGCAGGGTCAGGGAGCCCTAGGGAGGGGGTAGGCTGTAGCAGGACCCCACCCCCAACCTCCTGCTGTGACTGAGGAGCAGGAACTTCCTCTCGGCTTTCAGTCACCGCTTGTTCCAGGACCTGCAGATAGCTAGCTAGCTCAAGGCTCCCAAGGGAGCCCCCCACCTCCCCCCAGCTCCACGGTAGGAAGCCAGGTGATTCCTGGCACTAGCCTAGGTGTAAGGGAGGGTCCCTGGAAGTGGAGGTGCGCCAGGAGGGCCCATCCCCCCTGGTCACCACCATCTCCACCACAGGTGGTCCTGGCTGTGCTCCACTCAGTCCCCTCCCTGCACCCCAGAGGCTTCAGGGGAACAGCCTCCGCAGACGCGCCTACCTGATGATGTCCCGCAGGGCCCTCAGCAGCGGCTTCTCCTGGTACTCGATGCCATGCTTGGCACACAGAGACTTCACCAGCGGGGCGATTTTGTGGAAGTTGTGCCGGGGCATGGTGGGGAAGAGGCTGAAGAAATTGGGGGTGTGGGCTGTGTGTGAGGGGGGCCCAGATGGCTCCTCGCTTCCTTGCACAGCCCAGATAGAGCCGGCCAGGGCCCAGGGAGACCTGTCTGTAGCCAGGTGAGGGCTCTGTGCACGGCTCTCCCCACGTGCCCACTGCAGCTACACGGGCTGAGCAACTGGCATGTGTGCGGAGAGGACGGGGCGCCGTTCGTGAGCAGGAGTGTGTCTGTAGTCTAGGGAACTGGAAAGCCATTGTGTAGCCAGAGGCAAATGTCAAGTTTTTCAAAAAGGATATGAAAGGATTAGATGAGGATGAGAGGAAAGGGAACGTTGGTAAGAGGTAAGACGAGGACAAGCGCCAGCAGGGGCAGTGCTGTGTCCCAGGCGAGCTAGCTAGCTGGGCCTCCATTTCCCTGTCAATAGATTGCCGTCAATACTCCCTGGCTGCCAGCCTCAGAGGACCAGGTGCCATGCAAGCTCTCTAACACGGAGCTCCAGCCAGACAGGAGGCAGGGTGGTTACCACTGTGACCGTGTGGAACAGGGCCAGGGGAGAGAGAGGTAGCCCCCACTGTTCCCTCTGCCTAGGTGGGACTGGCTGGCCCTCACCTTCCCAGTCTCTCCCACCTTCCCAGTCCCTGGCCACACTCACTGGTGCTCGATCTGGAAGTTGAGGTGCCCGCTGAACCAGTCATTGAAAAAGGACTGCTCTACGTTGCAGGTGGCCGCCAGCTGTGGAGGGAAAGGGGTGAATGGTCGCAAGAGGAAGAGTAAAGGACAACTCAGTCTTCTTGGGGTCCCAGGGCCTGTCTGAAGGCTTCAGACCATCCAGAATTCCCACTTGTCCCTCCAGAGGAGTCCTGCCAGCCTGAGACTACCAGCAGGAGCATAGTTAGCTAGCTCAGGGCTCTCCAGGGGACCCCCGTATCCCCCCCTCCATGGTAGGAAAGGCTGGGTGAGGACATGGACATAGCCCAGGCCCCACAGGGCCCAGCAGCCAGCTCTGTCCTCCCTCATGCGGAACCAGTCACGGTAGGGCTCACGGTCAATCTCCATGACGATATGGTTCATTTGCGTGACCCACACAAACCAGTGGCTCTCCAGGAACCTGGAAGAGAGCACAGCTCAGCTCAGGAGCCCCTGGGGCTCCCCACGGAGCCCAGCCAGCCCAGGGCAGGTGCAGGTTGAGGCTGTAGCCTCTGCAGGGGGGCCCGGAG